TTTTTGCCTTAGCGGCTACCCGACGTTGCGTGAACTCTGCAGATAATTAACTAATGAAAATAAAATTCTTTTCGCTTTCACGGCACACGTGAGTTTCACGCATACATTACACGCTTCTTGTACGTGCAAACTGGATGATTATATTTATCGTGTAAACGTAATTGTGCATTTCGAAGGACGCGCGGAAATTTTTCGTGTACAAAAGGAACCTTTAGTATTGTGGTATCTGTATTCGTTGACCTGTACATATGTCTCAGTTATTCTTCTTAGGATTTACCCAGTTGATACTACATACACTTAGTGTGAACCCAAAAAAACAACAGTTGTTCACGTTATCGGTTTGTTCACATTAACGAATGTAATAATTATTTGGTGTCAAACAAATAAGAGGCGTTAGAGATAGGATTAAATAAAATGGAAGCGGTATTGATGAACCAGTATTGTATGAAAATAAATAAAGTAAGACAAACATACTGGTGTGCAAGGGAAGAAGAAGTAGGAAAAGAGCGAATATAAAGATAGGAGACGAAAATTTAGAAGAAGTGGCTGATTTTCGGTATCTGATAAGTCAGATAACCCAGGGTGGAAGGAGTAATAGATATAAAACAGAGGATAGCTCAGAGTTGAATCGACTTCAACAAAAAGAATTTAGTTCTTTGCTCGCGAGGGGTTAATTTAGAAATTTGAAAAAGATTTTTAAAGGTATATGTACGGGTACGAAATGTGGAGGGTGGACGCAATGGAAAAGAAAAGGTTAGAAGCGTTTGAAATGTGGTGTTACAGATGAATGATGATGATACCGTGGATAGAGAAGGTTAGAAATGAAGGGATATTAGAAAGACTATGATTATGGAAGTTAGGAAGAAATAGACGAGATACGGTGGTAGGACATCTGACGCAGGAAGGGCTAGTTAGACATATTAGAAGCAGAAACAGGAGTTAAGAGTAGACCTATAGTTAAGGATGTGGGATGTTCTGTAGTTTCAGGAAATGCCAAGATTAGCTCAGGAAAGGAAAGATAGAGGTGCATGTTAATCTAGTCTTAAGACTGACGATGTTATGGTGATGAATTATTTGATAACGATTACTAAGGTATATATAGGAGACGAACCTGTATGGAGAGAAAAATGTTAGTAAAAATCGTCTACTGGAAAGCATAAGAATTTTTACTGTGCTAGCATGGTAATTTTTCCATTGTTAGTGAAAAGCAACCAGATTATGAGACAGCATGGTAATTTTTACAAGATTTTTCTCTCCGTGTGGTACCTAATATGGTCATCATCAGTGTAGGGATCTTGGATTTTAGAATCAGCGACTCTATCTATCTTAGATTCTCCACTGATAAAACTGATAAAATCATCCAACTCAAACGATCAGCATTCATTATTTAAGAATTTAGAATATCTATGAATATATGACCTACTAATCGTTCGGAAGTATATGCAAACATAACATTCCAGGCATTAGTGAATTAATTTTTTGAATTAAAACTCTTATAACATTCCACTTTACCGTTCTAATGCTAAATAAATTTTATTGATAGTCGATATTCATGACTAAATAAATAACAGATTACAGTCACTTATCTACATGCTGTTGTTATCTTTTGATAAAAATGGTAGATCTTATTAGTTTAAGACTTTATTTATGATTGTCTGTCTGGATCATTCTATAGCTTCTGAACGGACGAACAATTTTAATTTTTTTATTGCTTGATGGAAATTGGTTCGGCCGTTCAGTTTTGATCATGTTTTTTGGCGCTTTTTCCAATTTTGTCATATTTTGTTTGTGTTCGTAATGCCACCGTATCAAACGAGTCTAATAATAACCGAAATTAAACCGTACACTCACTTTCTAAATTATGTGGATGTACGGTTGTACATTGGACACAGCATGCATACTAATTGAGTCAATGTCATTAAACAGATGGTCTAGATTCGAAGGAAATTTACCTTGTCTTGTATTTCTATATCGTATAAAAAAACAATCGTAAAGTTAAGGTCGATTACGAACCGATGTGACGTGAGCGTGTTTTGCGTGTCAAGGAAAGGTTGTGAGGCACCTTTAGCATACCCATGTCCACAATGAATATTCGGAATGCAATATCAATGTTTTCATTCCACATTTTACATAGCGACATTATGCCAATATTTAATAAACTTCATCAAGTTATTTGATCTGATCAGAATGTAATCCATTTTCATGCGTATCATTGAAGGATTGAAACAGGACTTCCACATTAGGACCACATAAGTCTTAATAAGCTATGTCGTATGAGGGTTAACGCATGGCATCGACCTCCGGTCCAAATCGGTCTAATAGAGGGCATACTGTAAAAGGGTTTAGATAGGGTGTCCACGTCAGGGTCATACCAGGCTAAGTAGGGAATGTTCTGAAAGGATTGAGGTAAGGAATCCGTATCATGGTCACCTCAATCTTAATAGGGCATGTGTCAAGAGGGTTCAGGTAGGAAATCCATATCAGTCTAAATAGGAGCTCATAAAAGGATTTAGGTAAAGTATCCACATCAGTGCCAGGGCCTTAATAAATCATGTCTGAAGAGGGTTCAGGTAAGGAATCCGGATTAGGGTCATATCAGTCTAAATAGGGCATGTCGTGAATGTATTGACCTAGAGAATCCACATTAGGGTTGCGTCAGTCTTAATAGGGCAAGCCTTAAGAGAGTTCAGGTAAAGAATCCATATTAGGGCCACATCAGTCTGAATAGGGCAAGCCATAAATGGGTTTAGATAGGGTATCCACATCAAGGATACATCAGCCTTAATAGGTCATGTCTTAAGATGGTTCAGGTAAAGAATTCGGATCAGGGTCACACCAGTCTAAATAGGGTATGTCGTGAATGTATTGACCTAGAGAATCCACATTAGGGTTGCGTCAGTCTTAATAGGGCAAGCCTTAAGAGAGTTCAGGTAAAGAATCCGGATCAGGGTCACACCAGTCTAAATAGGGTATGTCGTGAATGTATTGACCTAGAGAATCCACATTAGGGTTGCGTCAGTCTTAATAGGGCAAGCCTTAAGAGAGTTCAGGTAAAGAATCCGGATCAGGGTCACACCAGTCTAAATAGGGTATGTCGTGAATGTATTGACCTAGAGAATCCACATTAGGGTTGCGTCAGTCTTAATAGGGCAAGCCTTAAGACAGTTCAGGTAAAGAATTCATATTAGGGCCACATCAGTCTGAATAGGGCAAGCCATAAATGGGTTTAGATAGGGTATCCACATCAGGGACACATCAGTTTTAATAAGTCATGTCTTAAGAGGGTTCAGGTAAAGAATCCGGATCAGGGTCACACCAGTCTAAATAGGGTATGTCGTGAATGTATTGACCTAGAGAATCCACATTAGTGCCGCGTCAGTCTTAATAGGGCAAGGTATAAATGGGTTTAGATAGGGTATCCACATCAGGGATACATGAGTCTTAATAGGTCATGTCTTAAGAGGGTTCAGATAGGGAATTCGCATGAGGGTCAAATCAGTTTAAATCATGGCCGCATTACTCTAAATAGTATTATTTATTGTTATTATTGTAATTTATGTTGTACTTGAACACTAACTAAGACATTCCTCTTTTTGATAGTTACTAGTTGTTACACATTATGATGTCTAATACTAAACATTACAAGTCTTTACGAATGACTCACCGAAAATGACGTTATAATTATTATTCATCGTTAATGTTCTTACATCTGTGTTACAGAGTAGTCTGCGTTTGAGTTTTCCCTATTCTTATTTTGTTTTCGAGCATTAATTTAAACAGATGCGTCTTGACTTTTCCATATCGTCGAGTTGTTGCGGAAAAGGAACTTTGTAGCTAATGAGAGGCACGGTGTGCATTGTACATCATAAAAGTGTAACTTGATCTACATGTGCAGGATTGTAATGAATTTGTTATGCCCCATGCTGAGATTCTACATTCTGTGGGGAAGAAGGAACCTTCTTTTTTTTATGGGTTGAAAAGATCCAAATGGAAGTAGTATTATAAGTAATGATTTGTCTTTGAGGAGAAGCACGAGGTTATTTAATGTTGTGCTGGGGATTTTCAGACACAGGTTTACAAGTTTTATTGTAGAAATACGAAGGTTCGATTGAAGGAAGTCGATGCTTTAGAGTCTGACTTCAAATCTGACATCAGAATGTTGCTTTCTAAACTGAAAGTGTGAAAATTGGTGTTTTTGTGCATATTTTGTATTAAGTTGTTTCGTTTTCGATGAATTGTATTGACAAATATATTACAATACGATTTTTTGCTGATTGTAAAACATCGATTCCAGTTCCTGGATGAACTTTCAACGCAATTCTTTACGCTCAGTTGATCATGTATATACCATGAACTAAAATTCATGATATCCCAACGAAAAATAATCCTATTTTCACGTTCGAAAACAAAAATGAAAGAAGAATTGTATTTTAGCGATAAAATCCCTAAAAATTACACAGAACTTTGAAATTATCTAAAAAAACAATTATTTTCGTACTTTCAGTTTCATTTTGAGATGTCTTGATCGTATTTCTATAATTGAGGTAGCGGGGCAAATATTTTTGCGTAGAGTTTCTGTAATATTCTATAATATCATGGGCATTTGTAGACTTGCGATAAATTATTTGTCATTATTAGTAAAAAATTAGAATCAGAGTAACATTTATAGGAGGAAGCAAGTACCAAGTTTATGTCAGTTATCTAGGAGTTTGTGTGAAGGTTTTCTTGGTCATGTTCTCCAAAAATATATTTCCTTTTTATTTCTAATAAAAATTAAAACAAAGGCAAGATTTTTAGAAGAAAAATATATCAAACATTGTAGGTTTTTATACTTCTTGAGAATTAGTAGTTTTCTTTTTTAGCGTTTGAATGGGCGTGATGCATGATGAAAGAACTACTCGAAAAATTTGTATAAATTAATTTCTGTTTCTTTTTTTTTTTAATTGTTCAGTTTCGTGTGTATTTTAGCCCGTTTTGATTAGGTTTTTGTATTGTTCCAGGTGACGAAAGAAGAATTAGCAAAACTTGTCCAAGGTTTCGAAAAAGAAGACATCCTCACGTCATCAGGTGTAACCATAGCAGGCAAACGATACATATACTTATCAGGTACAGATCGTGTTATAAGAGCAAAATTGGGCAAAGTAGGAGTACATTGTATGAAGACAACACAAGGTAAATAAAGTACATCCGTTATTAATTGGTGTTAATCGTTGTTCATATTGTATTGTTTGGACGTTGAGGTGAGCTACGCCGGGATTCGTTTCAACAAGTGGATATCCATATTTTTAAATGGACCTTGTTGGAGCATATGTAATCCTCAAATGTAGCATCGTACTACAGATGGCGCTCACCACGCCATTTGTAGTATTTTCTAAAACGCGCTGTTAAGACAGCAGGTAAAGGTTCGTCTGTGTTCTGTCGGAGCTGTCTGCGACGCGCTGATGAGATCCAAAAGATCGAAATCGCGATCCGCGTCTAGCAGTTTCGACAGAATACAGACCACTTCGAATTATTTTGTTCAATGTTTTTTTAATTCAAATTGTACCTACACTAATAGGTGTCTAATTAGGTAAACTGAACTGCATCTGTCCGTTTGTCACAGCCGTTTCTCATAGAAACTACAGAAAGTTGAAATTTGAGATTTGTAATTTGCATTTCGCAATTGTTGTTAGTTGTATTTAAAAGTGCTAGATAGTATTCAATTGTTAACAATTTTGAGATCAGATGAACTCGTACTAAATCTACTTTCATCATCATCATCATCATCATAAGGTCGTCAGTCCTAAGACTGGTTGGACACGTACCTCCACTCTTTCCTATCCTGAGCTAAACTTCGCACTTCCCTAAAACTAGAACAGCCCACATCTTTAACTATTTGCGAAGAGTAATCTAATCTAGGTCTACCTCTACCCCTCCTAACTCCTGTTTCTGCCTCTAATATGTCTCTGACTAGACCTTCATGCCTGACAAGGTGTCCTACCAACCTATCTCGCCTATTTTTTATTAACTTCCATAGAGTCCTCTGTTCTCCTATTCCTTCCAATACCTCTTCATTTCTAACCTTTTCTACCCACGATATCCTCATCATCCGCCTATAACACCACATTTCGAACGCTTCTTACCTTTTCTTTTCCGCCGCTCCCACTGTCCATGTTTCGCACCCGTACAACGCCGTGCTCCAAACATATACCTTAAACAACCTTTTTCGAATTTCTAACTTCACCGTTCGCGACCATAGAAGTGACTTCTTTTTATTAAAGGCGACACGACCCTACGCTATCCTCTGCTTTATATCCCTACTACTCCTTCCGTCCTGACTTATCTGACTTCCTAGGTACCTAAAATCAGCCACTTCTTCTAATTTTTCGTCTCCTATCTTTATATTCGCTCTTTCCCTACTTTTTCTTCCCTTGCATACCAGTATTTTAGTTTTACTTTTATTTATTTTCATACAGTACTGATCTATCTACTTTAACATTAATTAATTTAGTCAATGAACTCAATTTTTATGTTACCAAAAATGTATTTTGTATCTTTCACTGAGCCCATCAACTTGGATTTTTGGGTGTCTTTAGAAAATATTTAAAATTAAAATAATTTACATCAAAATTTTTTCGCTTACGAATATTACAAGTTACATCTGAAGTCAGCTTGAGGCCTTTTACTTATAAATTGTACATAAAGCTTTACGATAAGCTCTGCTTGTCGTAAAATTTTGTATTTTGTCGGGAGCGTGGACCGTCGTATGAAAAGTTCGGGAGAAACCTTCCTGTTCTAAGGCAATTTTGGCACCTTTTCTCATATTCCTGACTATTTGTTAACAGTAATGTAATCTAGGCCTTTGCTAGCCCTCCCCTTGTCCCTGTTTCTGCGTCTAGTGTGTCTCCAATTAGTCCTTCATGACTCAAAAGATGTTTTCCTCTTTCTGATACCTCCTCATTCCTTACCTTTTCTATCTACGCCATTTTCCCCATCCGCTTGTAACTCCTAACATCCTAACTTTCTTTTTCGCCGCACTCATCGTCGATTTTTTATATTTTACAATACAAAACTTAACAATCATTCAAGTTTCTATTATTATTAACCTTTCGCGATCTTAGAAGTGATTTCTTTGACTCGATCGTGCTCTATTCTTTGTCTTGTAACTGAAATATCGAAAGTCAGCGACCTTTTCTAATGTTTCGTCTCCTATTTTTATATCAGCTCTTTCCTTACTTTTACCTCTGTTGTTGACCAATATCTTTTTTCTATTTTTTTTTTATACTCTTTTGTTAATGGACTTTAATAAATCGGCTTACAACAGGAGAACGCGTGTCATGTTTTAAATTTAACCATAAACAAACAATTATCGAAATTTATCGATTGTTCGATGTCAAAATATTTATGTATTTATGTTTATATAACAATCTTTATCAGTAGTTGAAGTCGAACGATGTCCATTCGTACCAAAAGTACAATGTTGTGGAATGCATGAATGGAATGTTTGCATTTTATATGGAAGAAGTAGATAATAACATAATAATGTACCCACTTACATATGTTTTATACAGTTGTATTAAATTTTATCGTCACTATTATTTGTCTGGTAAACGTGTGCATGTTGTCGATCTTTTTTTTTATGCATGAGATAAAAAAACCGCCGAAATGTGAGGATAATTCCAAGGCCAAGCTCAGAACTATTTAAATTAAAAGCCATTGCACTTTACACATTGGAAGCTTTAATCGAGCGAGTGTAAGCTGATGATATGAAATCCCAAGTGTGGATTCGCTTCTTCGACTAGAAAAGTTATGTAATTTTATTATCTCAAATCTTCTACTGTTGCTTAGCAAGTTTCTCTCCCGGTAATTGATTAATTTGATACAATATACATAAATATCAGCCTGCAAATTTACTTGCCGAATAAATTAAATTAAAATACTCGTTTATGCTAATGGCGAATTTATTTTTAATAGGTAGGTGTTACCAATTCATTGAAAGCCTGGATACTCCAGTATGTGTATTACGAACATTTTGCAAATCAGAAACGGTTTTTGATTGTATAATTTTTACGTTCTATTCTTAACCTGTAAATCTATTCGGATTGTAATTATTTTAACGATTAGCGAATCATCAAAGTTATGATCTACCCACATACCTACGTTTATTACACGCTCCTCAAAAACAATAATAATTAATTAATTATTTATTGACTGTAGTTCAATAATTACAGTGATATCGAAACTTCGAGATATCTTAATATCAAATCCAAGGAAGCTAAGTTGGCAACGTTTGGACTTAGGGGTTGAAATATCTCAAATGGTTAATATATGAAAATCTTAATGATTTCTAAACCCGTTGCTAGTTTTAATGTAGTTTCTTTATTGAATCGTTAAAAGTAATTCTACAAACCTTGCAATTTTAGAATTTAATGTGCACCTAATTGTTTTTTTAAAATGAAATTGTTTAAATAAATTCTTTTAAAAGATTAATAAAAGTATAATTACGGTTCATATCTAAACGTAAAATACGTAAGCAATGTGTATTTTAGCCCGTTTTG